TTTTGGTTACACAAATCTTCTTCTGGGACTTATAGATTCGAAGATATTTAAGGTCCTAATAGTTATTGCCCCACCCTGTATATATATATATGTATAGAGAGAGAGAGAGAGAGAGAGAGAGAGAGAGAGAGAGAGAGAGAGAGAGAGGAAGCTATATAAATTTTACAATTTCTTTTCTCTCTCCCTTTTCACACACACTTATTACACATTAACAACTGATTTTAACAACTATTTTATAAGAGACTTTTATATGAGAAGAGGGCAACTTCACGCGCGAACGTCTTTTTTTGCGCTTCTTAATTACGGCATTGACTACCAATCGTCAGGAATGGACTACCAAACGTCAGTACACGACCACCAAACGAAATGCTATAGTTAAAATGACCTGTGTTATCGGGAAAGCCGAGTTTTGTAAGTGGAGGGCTAACTTCACGCGCGTATGTTTTTTTTGCGATTTTTAATTACAGTATCGACTACCAATCGTCGGGAATGGACTACCAAACACCACCAAACGAGTGATAAAGGTTATTATTGCATTTTCAGTAGTGGGGGGCCCAACTTCACACAGCCATCGACGAGGGGACGAAGACCTATTGAGGTTTCATGCAAGGATACGCGTGTGTCTCACGATGTCCATTTCCGATGACGTCAACGACGTGCCCGGTAAACACTCGAAGCCACCCGGGTCGAGAACGGCCGCGTGCGTGTTTACAAAACCGCGGTCTTATCGAATTACGTTTGCCGGCCGCGTGCATCGTAAAGGGCGGATTTCGATACACGGGGCGTATCTCGCAGCGAGGGAGAGGATCTGGAATATTTATGCGATAGATTCTAGGGCCCGGTCTACAATGAGTCGTTAGAAGTCGGTACTGTGGCCGGTATTTATAGTCTATTCTTATTTCAAAATCATCTTAAGTGTTGTCTTAAGAGGCCAATACGATTGGCCTCTGCGATTGGTTAAAAGCACATTAAGAGTATACTTGAGATAATCTTATTTATATTTAGTGTATTTAGTATGTATAGTATATAAAGTATATACTTAAGATAATCTTAATTATAAGAACGGACTATTAATACCGGCCTATGTGTCGCTCCCTTTTCTTTCACCCAGAATCTGACTGACGACTGAAAGCTAATTTCACAAACGTCTATTAACTGTTGACCAGAGTTCATTCAACTCCCTATCTTTTTCTGTCTTATTAACTAATTGTAAGAGGAAAGAATCGATAAACTTTTGGTTAGCAGTTAACCAACGTTTGTGAAACTGGCCCTAACATCTCATTGTAGACCGTGCCTAAGCCTGAAGGTCAATTCTGTATCTTACACTATAGTGAAAGTGCTAAATGTGAACTAAAAGTTAGAAAGAGACTGGGCTACTCACTTTTAGAATTTTCACTATAGCGTAACATACAGAATTGACCATCTAATCTACAATGTGCTCTTTGCGTCTGTAAACATTCTATTTTAATAAATGCATTTAAAAAGTTTGTGCAAGTTGATTAATTGTAGAGTACAATCGTGCATTGTCGAGAAATTTTGGAAGTGTGGATTTGCTCTTGTACAAAATACAATGTTTCCAATTGCAAGACACACATTGTAGATTAGACTTCAGTTCTCTCTTGCGTCACAGCCGTAGGAAGGAAGAGTCCCTGGCGTTTTTTTCCCTGCACGTGTACAGTCGATTAAAAAAATTTTTTTTACGCTCTTGCGCTTCGTTGCAGTTGAAGAGATAATGGACGAGTTTCGACACAATGGTCGTGACTTCGAGTATTGCCCAGATGTGGACGCAGACGTGTCAAAACAGACTGTATCGCGGCGAAAGAAGAACAAAAAACCTTTGCCAACGGAATGCGTGTTCTGCAGAAATAATGGGGAAGAGGAAACGTACTATCGGCAGCACTTGCTGAAAGACGTCGACGGACGTGTTCTATGTCCCGTTCTCAGGTAGATGTCAAGAAAGGTTTTTATTCTTATCTCGCAGCGTCTAAGCCCGGAACATCCCGAGATATTCGAGGCGTCGACCTACGTCCTTTTTTTTCAGCAGAAAATATGACAAACAAAATTTAGCGTGAAGAAATCTTCATCTTGCCTCTTCGTTTTACTAAATCGGTATAAATCTGTCGTAAGTTTCATAGGACTGAGGCGCCATGGGTGCTGGCTCTGCACTGTCTCACAAATAGTCTCGTCTTTTTAAAAAATCTGCCTGAAGTCTTTGATAACTTCACGAAATATGATATTCGGAATTTCTTTTCTTTGTTTTCCTTTTAACATCGAGTGTCTTGGGTTCGTTACACACGCATAGATAATATTTTTGATTGTTAAGGGCTTATACGTGTCCGATTTGCGGCGCGTGCGGCGATATGGCACACACAGTTAAATACTGTCCGAAGGGCCCCTATAATCCCGGTACCATCAGCACAGCGAATGCTTTTAAACTCTTGAGGAACTCCACGGGAAAACGACGAAGCAAGTAAGAGATGTTGACTTTCTACGCAAGTGTGGAACATTTTCTTTCTCCTAGCGTGGCAATAAATTTCAAGTCTCACGAGCTAATTCGTAAATGCACGCGAATGTATTTCAATTGCACGTACAAATGTAAATAAAAAATGTACAAGTGTATAAATTGTATAGCAAATATAGGAACAAATAATTGTGTGCAGTAAAGAAATCGTAAATGAATAGAAAATGTTCCAACGAATTAAGAAGCAAAGTATAACATAGTCTTACATGTAGTAGGTTCGATTAAGAAAGTGTAATGGCCCCGAACGAAAGTAAACTCCTCTCTTTTTATATTAGGATTTGTACAGTTTACGCAATACGATTTTCTACTCTTTGCTAACACGTGAGGCGTAAGAAGGAACGTTTAAATTACGAGACAGTTATTATTTTAAAATAAACACAGTTTGATAAATGCTGCAATAAAATTTAAAAAAATAATTTTTCACACCGTTCTCTATTCTATGAAAAGAGAATTAAGGAATTTTCGTATAGAAAAGAAACCGTGTCTTCGATAATACATATAAATAAAAATATCATCTTCTAATGCTTCCGCCTTAATAGACTTTCTATCACTCATTTAAAAAAAAAACTATCAGAGCTCAGTGTTGTAAGAGGGAAGAGAAATATTAAGTAAATAAAAATTAAAACTTCACCTTTTACGTATTTTAGTTGTATTTGTAACTTGTGTGTATAAGCACGTAGTGCTCCTTTTTACAATTCACTTTACGATCAGTATTAAGTGAATATTAAAACTCATGTGATATTATTTCTTCATTTCTTAGTCTCTTTCACTTAACAAAAACGATTGTAGATCTCGGATACGTATAATATGTTCTAAGCGAGTTTTTTTTTAATAGGAAGGAGTAAGGAGACAAATTTTCGAGCGTATGTCGATATCAACTGCTGACAGAGGCTATTCCCCGCATACGTCCAAGTGCCAACGAAACAATCTAGTTACTAGGCTATTGTGTACAATGCTTCTCTTATTTACATTTGTCTATAAATAAGAAAAGAGAAGCATGATCAACGTGACCTGACAAACATTTAAGATCTTGAGGCGATCGTTGTCTATCGTAATGTCTTAACGAAGCTGCTCTAAAAGTTTCCTCCGTACGTAATAGGAAATAAGTTGAAATTTTTATCACTTGTTTTCGCTAATGAACCTCTCGTATTCTTTTACTTTTGTATTCTTATCGTCTTATGTCTACAACATAATTACTCGTTACGTATTTCACCACTTGCTTATTTCCCATTTGCACTCAAATTTATAATGCGGAAATTGCACGTAAACTGAACGTCGATTTAGAACGGAGAGACTGGTTTGTGCGTATCTCGAGAGTCGCATGATTGAGTCGGTTCAAGGACACATACACATTGTGTGTTTATTACGACACGTTTGTAAGAGTTAATCGCGATTTTTGTTTACAAAGGAAAGAGACGCGCTTAAACGTACGGAGGAAACTTTTAGAGCAGCTTCGTTAAGACATTACGATAGACAACGCCTATCGATCGCCTCAAGATCTTAAATACTTGTCAGGTCACGTTGATCATCGTATTGATATCCTCGACAAATAAAGTTCAACAGTAGGCTGTCAGAAATGGCATGAATGTGGAATACAGACGTATGTCCGTAAGGTCCAAGCCGTGATACGTTCACAACTCACATCTATATTCCAGTCATCTAGGAAACGGACATACGTCTGTATTCCACATCTATGCCATCCTACTGTTGAACTTTATTTGTCGAGAATATCAATACGATGATTAACGTGACCTGACAAGTTTTTCTCACGTCGGTATTGTAAAAGTTGCACCGCACAAGGGAACGCAATCTCTTTTCCTTGACGATACATACATCCGATACAATGCACGGTTAAAAATATCAAATATGTCGAGTGCTTCCTTTAGCTTTTGAGGTTTTTCGATATCTTCGATCGTGTGTACTACCGGATATGTTTGCGAGTCGTCAAGGAATAGAGATTGCACTCTTTTGTGCAATACAGAATTTACAATAACCGATAACTTGACTTTACAGATATTCGTACGGAGTTCGAAAATCAAAGTATATGCACATAATATTGTGTACAAATTATGTACAATGTATTCATTGCACGTATGCAGATGAGAAGAAAAATCACGTTTCTTAATTTTCTTTGACTTCGAAATAATAACGATCTTTTAAAGAGATCTTAAAGATTTGCCTGTAGACATTTTAGTAATTGTCAGCATCTTATCTTTCATTTGAAAAACTATTTCCTTGTTAAGTTAACACATTGTGCAATCAGGACACCATGCGCATTTTTATTTTAATTAATTTTTTTATTTATTTTTCATTACGGCGTTCAGCGGAACGTTTCGACAACTGTGTGATTACGTCATGATTGCATCTTCGCGAATTGTTATTGAAATGATTCATTTTCTATATATACATATATATATATATATACATATTTTTGTTACTAGTTCCTTAAATGAGAGTTGTGATAATACGTGCCTTAATGGAACGTTAAGTTTTTATATATTATGAGATAGTATAAGTCAAAGACGATAACTCATGCGCACATCACTCAATTAAGAAAATCGGGTGCAGTCATTTGCATCCGCAGATCAAAACGTTCGATATCAACAGAGAGTCTCAACGTTTCCGCAATACGGATTTCAGAACTATCGAAAAGTACAAAAGTTTAAATAATATGCGCATAATTATCGCTCGTACACTGATAACTTTTTATAGTTATCGTGAACATTTAATTTATTTTGCCCCTCTTCCGTCGATATAAACCGACTCATTCTCAATTTTGTACATTTTACGCGCTGTTACCATGTTCAGAGGGAATATTAGATCGAAGTGTTGTCACTGTCAGTTTCACCACGATACTTACAAGGCCGTCGAAACAAAAGCTGCTGCTAAGGCCGCGCTTTCTCATGTTTGTATACGTAGCTGGCTTTCGCTTGGCGGATTTGACAGTTCGTGCAAGGCGCATGGTTTTTTCCCCAGTCGACACTTCTTTTCGGTGTTCCTCGAGATTTAGCAAAGGACACGTTTCACTTTCATATCGTTTAACTTTACAAAATAATAATTAAGAAGAAAATCATATTTGTTGAGCAATTGCTTCAGAAAGTTTAATGTATATGCTCAACAAACAAAACTATATTATAGTAGTGACAACAGATAATATATATTTTTCAGTCTAGTATATTTTTATTTTTGAAGAAGAAGATATCAATTAAACTGTGTCTGAAGCTTGCTCGACACACATGATTTTCTTTTTAATTGTTAGTTCGAGAAGTTTATTAAATAATGCGAATTACGTAGGGACAATCTCGTTACAGAAAGTATGCAGGTTTTTCTCCTTTCTTTGTAAAACTGCCATCCATTAAATAAGTTTCAAGCGTTCCATTTATGTTACGGGTTCACTCAACATTGAAATTTCAGTGAAATTTGGGAACTTTTCTATTTTTTTCTTTTTTTTATTTGTGTGATATAAAAATGTTCAAATGTAGGGTATAAGATATATAGCGTAAGATAACTTAGTTTAGCGTTGTACACGTTGGATTAATTCTACCTCGATAATCAGCTAAAAGTAGCAAATTTGTTTGCAACACTCAACAGATTACATCACGAGTATTTGTTATTAAAGCACACGATCTTTAAAACATTTCAATTCTCTCTCGAAGAGATAAAAAATGCTTCTTCTATTTATCTATGTCTATGTAATTACAGGAAATTATTGCTAAGATTATTATTGATTATAATTATACATATGTGATTTTCAAGAACTTTTAAATGATTTCTCAGGTTATTACAAATATTTGGCGTGGTGATTATTATGATGTGCGTAATTCTAAATTTCGGCCACGTATGCCATTAAAGATTACATTATTTAAGATTACAGATCTGAAGCATACTGAAGATACAAGATCTGAAGCAATTAGATTATTTAAGATTACATTCTTGCACACATCATGCAAGAATTAAGACTTATAGTGCCAAGTGTGTTACGTTTCTAAAGTGTTGATGCATAGTATTCTTGTAATTTGTATTACGAGGCCTACTATTTAATAGTACGAATAAGTGCTTCCTTTCATAAGATGCGCGTCTCGTACCTTAATGGCATACGTGGCCGAAATTTAGAATTACGCGATTGTCGTCACAATAAACCGGACTGATTCATCAGTAAGGTTGCGAGATGACGTTACAGTAATCCGAAACCGTGCAGTAACGTATGCGATTAAGAGCAGCGGCAGGTGATAAGTGCCTTAGGAGCACCAGTAAGAGCCAGATTTCGTATGAAATATTCATACGCAGGATATTCAATAAGAACGAAATTAATAGATTTCAATTTGGACATGTCAATGGTAAATCCAGCGTGTCCAGTTGCACGTTTTACAGAATTGTATAAATATTTATTTTGTCGCAATTAAGCGCCTGCGATGTCGATCGAGGCCCACCCGATTACGCGTTTTCCTGATTCCGAATGTTGGTATCTGCCGACCGATTAAATTTGACGCCAGAACCCAAAAAGCTTTATTGTACCCGCTTGAAACGCGAGCGTGCTCGCGCAATGAAACTTTTTGGTTTTTAGTTTCTTTGTAATTCCCCTCCCCCTCCCTCCTCGCCGTATTAGATCTCCGTTTATTCGGAATTAATCTTGTGCACTGGACACGCCTTTTCTTTTTTGTAGTCGTTCGTATTTTAAGATTATATTCTTGCACATATCGTCATGATAATCGTCACGCCAAATATTTATTTGTAATTAAGGATAATTGTTATCACTTTCGCCATATTAATATATATATATTATTTAAATTTATCTGTACGAAATTGTATTATGTTAAATAATGATTCATAGAGAATATATGCATTTGAATGAAAGGTGTGTTTTTCTCACAATGGGTATATCATCGTTCTTTATTAAATTTTATTCAATAGCAACGTATTATGTAACGCGATAGAATTTATCCGAGATCTGTAATACTTTCTGCACCCTTACGCACAGGTTGAAAATAAATTGTTAAATATTGCCTGACTGCATCTTTTGTGGTATTTGCAATCTATACATTGATCGGTTTGATAATTTATTCGGTGGCCTTTTTTTAAACCGAAGATTCAAAAATTCGTTTTCGTTGAATGAATTGACATTTAATGTAAAAAACGCATTGGCATATTGTCACAACAGTTGTTTTATCTAATTCAATTTTTACTTTCGTTTTCATCATAGAATGTAATATTTGTATTATTTAAATCTCTATGTAATTCTAACTTGCAAGGACGGTAGCACACTGTTTTTTGACGTTTCCTATCGAGTAAGTAGGTCGCATCTTTTGTATTTGACCAGTTAAACGGATCGTCCCTCACATATACGTACATACTGCAGAGCTATAATTATTTAAACATAAAATTTTCAATATTAGTAATGCATTTCACTTATTTAAATGTCGCCTCTATCAGGTAAGTTCTTTGTATTCACCCGGGTAATAATTTTTTCGTTCTATAAAAATATTCTACAATAGTTACATTACTTGCATTTTTATATTTAATTTTATATTACAAATATTTTTATGTTTAATTATATATTAAAAAGAACTGTTAATATATATCATTAATTTAATTTTCTTTATCTCGCTGATAAGAATTTTCAATAATTTCTCTATATCATCTAAATATTTTATTTTTTGTGCAACCTAATTTTTTTATGCAAATCCCTGCTCTTCATATTTTTACACGCACGCCGGTGCGTGACGCGTTGCTATTATATTTTGCCTTCGAAAATTCGGTCGTGTGACAAAAGGTAATACGCTATTGGCGTCATATCTGCATCCGAACGTTCTCCATAAACCCGGGAAACACCAACACATCCTGTATACGTAAACGCGTGCTCGTGTTAAAAAATCGTTCAATAGACAGCGAGCCACCGGATAATAACGACCCATCATGTCACGGTTCTACGTGTCGCTGGTGAACGTAGTTGCCGTCGCGTTGACAATGATCAGCGTCGCGAGCACCTCGGAAAAAGTGAATCGCGGACTCGGTCAGATCGAAAAACCGATCATGTTTCGAGCTGGTGACATAGGCTCTTTAAAAAATCGGGACGTGGTACCATTTGCCGATTCGTCGTCTATTTTCTTTTTACGCAAATGCAAACCGCAGTATCAGTATCAGAAGCTAGACAGGATCGATCCTACTACTACTACTACCACCACCACTGCCGCTCCGAGAGCTTGCATCTGCGTACCTTTCTACCTATGCGACAGTAATCGGACTATTATCACCGATGGAAGTGGAGTAATCGACGTGCGGTGAGTTAATCATCAAATTTATTTTTAATTTATTAAACACGTGCCATCTAAGGGGCTAAACTTATCCATTGTTATTTATTACTAGCAACCTAAAGAGATTATCGTGTTTTAATAATCAAAGTTCGAAATTTTTAATCGGTATTGCTGGCCTATTCAGGTTTTAATTAATTTTAATCCAGCCCAATTGTTTTACATCCGTACAAAATTTTAATTTATCACCTTGTTATTTTAATTTCATCTATTTGCTTTTATCGAGTTTCAACTTTACTTTATTCTAAACCTGATTTATTTTTACTTCTCCCTTTAAATAATAAACTTTAAGTATACTTATACTTAGTTTGTTGGCTAAATTGAATTTCTCAAATTATTCGACACTGATGATATCAAAAGGGTTAAATAAAATAGACAATTAAAATAACGTGTGCTTAGGACCGGTGGTCGACGGAGATGCACCGGAGACTTTGAGGTCTGCTGCTATCCGCCAAATGCCACGACAACTACGACGCCTCGTCCAACGAGAACCTACCCAACTAGACCAACCTACCCGACTAGACCAACAACAACAACAACAACAACGTCATCTCCAATGACATTTCCAACTGCAATACCAACAGCTCCGACGATACTTCCCAACTGCATCTGCGTGCTGATGTCGCAATGCGCTCCTAACGGAATAGTCACCATCTCCGGCGAGGGTATAATAAATCCGCGGTACGGATTGTGCCCCGGCAACTTGGTCTGCTGCAGCATACTGGCGAACACAACGACAAGTCCCCCGACAATGATGACCACGTCTACACCGCCTGGAGAGACGCAACTGTGCTTCGTTTGCGGCAATCTCACTGTATGTTACACCTGCATGACCGTCAGCACGTCCGACGGTGGTAGCATGATAGATCCTAGATTCTCTCAAGTTTTATCGCAAGGAAATATTTGCACGGTGACAAACATACCGTCCTGCCGGAGTACGTCGTCAAACGCGCCGCTTACGGACCTGGGTTCGTTGAAGAACCGTGGTACATCGCAGGAATGTTACTGCGTCAAGACCTGGCTGTGTTCCGAAGGAAACGAAGTCAGTCCGGATGGTCTTGGCATAATTGACTCGAGATTCACGTTGTGCTCGTCGGCAGATCAAGTGTGCTGTCGGCTCGCAGGTATCAGTCCTCGGGGTCTTCGCAACGCTGGCGCCTTCGTGTCCTCGGCCAGGGGTCCGAACGAACCGGCCAATCGCTCCCCGCAGGCCGGTTGTGGTGTACAGAGCAATGGTTACGCGCCGCGTAAGTATAAACCGTGGTCGTTGTACTCGTGTCTTGGTGAAGTAGAAATTCAGAACAGTGTATCAGGTTGCTATAGGCTGTTGCTTGAACGATAATGACAACAATCGCTTACAGCGCAGCCTGTTCCACCTGACTCCGAGGAAACCTATTTCGCTGAATTCCCATGGATGGTCGCGCTTCTCCTAAGGTCCACGACCGACAGTCCTTACGCTTTCCAGTGCGGTGCCTCGCTGGTCACCAACGGAGCCGTCCTCACTGCCGCCCACTGCGTCGTCAAGTACGTGTAGACGAAAAATGCAGGAAACGTTTCAACGAAGCGATTTTTCAAAACATCTCTCGTACTCTTGTCGGTCCTAATTGTTTCATTTTTTCTCCGTCTTGATCTACCGACAGTCAAAAGCCCGAGAATTTGATCGCACGCTTCGGACAATGGAACATAGGAAACAGCACACAACCGTTGCCTATTCAAGAAGCGAAAATTTTCGCGATAGCTGTGCATCCGTCGTATTATGGCGGCGGGCTTTTCCACGATGTGGCCGTCCTCATTTTGGCAGAACCAGTCACTTTTAGCGCGAACGTCCTGCCGATTTGCCTTCCCGAACAAGGTACGGTCTTCTTGGCCGGGTCCAGATGCTACGGACTAGGATGGGGCAGCGATTCGTTCGGTGAGCCTCAAGTTGAGCTTACACATTTCCGCGTATCACTTCTTTCGGCTTATCAGAAAGCATTCGTTCGTAATCACGTTACAGAGTCGGGAGGGCAATATCAGGCCGAGCTTCGAAAGGTGAATCTTCCTATCGTCGACCAAGAGGATTGTCAGACGCGTTTACGAGGCACGAAATTGGGCCAATACTTTGAACTGCATGGGTCGTTTATCTGCGCCGGCGGCGAAGCGAATAGAGACACGTGTCGTGGCGACGGCGGTGGACCGTTGGTTTGTCAAGCTACTACGGGACAATTCTTTCAGGTGAGCCATTATTTTTATGTTATAATCTGGTTTTCTGCACATTGGAAAGAATTCAGCGACGAGGAAAATGGAATAGACAGATATTTCCTTCGCATTAGAAAGAATTTAGCGACGAGGAAAGTGGAATAGACGGATATTTCCGTCACATTAGAAAGAACTCAGCGACGAGGAAAGTGGAATAGACAGATCTAATACCTGCTGCTTCCTTAATTTTCCTTCGAATGTTTTCCTTTTATTTCAAGCGTCAATGTGACTTAACGTTGTCATACTAATTAGACTCTTTCAACCGTTGTTTTTTAAATTCTCGTTTATCTATTATTAATTTTAATTGTTAATCAAATTAATTAAAGTGCGAATTAAATCGTGCTAAGCTCGCGGGCATTTTTATATTGAACAAGAGAAATAAACTTGGATAAATTCCTATGACAGGCTGGCATCGTATCGTGGGGTATTGGCTGCGGAGCGTCTAATGTACCTGCGGTGTACGCCAGCGTTTCGCAACATCGTCAATGGATAGATCAGCAGTTTGCAACTTATGGCGTTTAATGTGTGTCGCATGTAGTACGTTTAACGACATTTCCAATTCAGCAACTGCGATTACGTTCCGTGTACGTACGCTAATATCACGCGCATAACTTACGACAACTGTTGTAATAATAATAAAATGCAACGATAGTTTTATAACTTTGTGTACTTTACGTTATTCATTTTAATTCGCTCGAGCAACCTGTATTTTTTTTAAGTCTTCCGATCGTACAGTAATAAATGCGTCATAATCGCATTCTTCGAGAACGAGTATCAGAATGTATTTGTTTTAGCTAATATCGATAGCTGCGTAACACATAAACCTTATCGCAGTACGATGAACGTGGGAAAGACTCGGAGGTCAAGCGTATCGTCGTCCTAGTTCTAGAGCAAATAATTTCTCGTACGTACTTTGACTTATAAGACGCGCGAAAACAATTGTTTGCTATAAAGTTGAGCACGATTTAACGGGACTAATCTGGAGACACGACCAAGAAAAGTTGCCCTATAATAGGAAACTCTCTGAAACCCTCGTAGCGAACCCTCGTATTCGCACACTACGTTATCTGGATATGAATAATCAAAAAAATCACAAAAAAGACTTCCACCGTGACAATGTTATACACATTGCCGTGACCAGGATTCGAACCTGGGTTACTACGGCCACAACGTAGGGTCCTAACCACTAGACGATCACGGCTGTTGGAAGAACTGCACAGAGACGCGAAAACTGAGCACAATGTTCGCGCCGGTAAATAGAAAAATTCTAAACAATTAAATATATATTTCTACTTATTGTTAGAGAGTTGTAATAAGCAACACGGCAAATATTATACGGCAATTATTTACGATAAGATGATTGTGTGTAGCGAGAATAATTGTATTTAGAATTGTGCAAAAGTTAATATTTTTCTTATATATAATATTATATTAAATTTATATTAACTATTTTTTTCTCTCCCTTTTTCTGTACAAATTCAACAAATGCTGGAAATAAATAACTGACAGTTGACAACGTTAATAATTAAAAACTATTCTCCGCAACAAACACGCATATTGATAAATTATTTTGCAAAGAGAAACATTTCGCTCTTTAAATACAAAATTTTGCGTAATTGCAATTCTCGAGCACACAATTTGACGTTACTATGAAAATTAATAAAAAAAAAGCTTCCACCGTGACAATGTTTTTCACATTGCCGTGACCAGGATTCGAACCTGGGTTACTACGGCCACAACGTAGGGTCCTAACCACTAGACGATCACGGCTATTGGAAGAACTGACTCCAGTACCGTAGAATCGAACAGAAGACTTCTACCAATCTAATACTCTTCTAATAATTAAATATATAATTTGTTTAGTACAATTGTACAATAAATTGTATAACAAATTTCATCACTTGTGCTGGAATAATTATATATAAGAATAATATGAGACTTTGATTATAGAAATTAACATTTCCTTTATGTAAGTATGTATAATATTTTTTAGAAACGTTACATATTTGTGCACTAAATTGAAAAAAATAGTATCCACTTTAATTATTATGTTTTACATATTTGTGTTTTTTGCAGCGCAATTTCACCGAGTTCAAAGTATCTCACGATAACGTAATCGCGATATTTGTGCGGGTAAAGGCAACATTTATCGCATCAAGTATTGAACTTTGCTTATAAAAAGCAGTTTTATTTTATTTTTCTTTGAGAAGTCAAATTTTGGTCAACTCGGATGAGTCTCAATTCGAGCTGTGTTTTCGAAAGACACGCTCGATCGTGGATTGAGCAATGCCTCAGTATTGCAAAATTGAATTATGTATTTAAGCATAAAGTCGACAAAGCATTTTATTGACTTTTTTACGTAAAGATGCGCACATAGGAAATAGTTGCCAATGATGCAGCCTCATTTGCGTTTTCGAAGAGGGACAATCGTTTCGCTAAGCTATGCATTCATGAGTTCCTGCTAACAATTAATTATTATTACCGCGATAGTATCCTTTGCATTCTTACAAAATATTTTAATGTCTGCAATTCCTTCCGAATGTTGCAGCAGTTTCGTCAATTTCTTTCACGAAAGCGTTATGAGAGAACAAAACGATTTGTTTTACGATTGCGCAGTCTATCACAAAGGAATCCTCAATTTTTCGAATATTAGCGCCTATAAAGTTTTTAACCCATTCATATTTTTTTGCAAAGTGCTTGCTATATCGAGCTGATAAATGGTGTCATTTATATTTCTCGCGCACGGTAAAACGGAGACGGTAAGCGGCACTTCCGATCACACAGATATTATGTCGAATGAAACGCTATTGCAACACCTGACGGACAATACCTGATGATATTACGTGTCACCTGAATCGTGTGCAACCAAACAGCATGACAATCTCGACAATCTCTCTCTCCCTTTCTGTAATGACGTGCGTCATTAATGACGTTTAAGTGGCACATACGACCGACTGTATCCATTTTTTAACGTGCTTTTCCTCTAACGAGACATTAGACAAATCGGAGTAGATTACTTGTACATCATACTTGTGTTCCCATATTCCCACTAGCCTTAAGAAGACGACAGACTATTGTACAGATATTACGTGTAAAAAGAGAAAGAGAATGACGTAAACGTTACTGACCTATGGCATTTTTCTCTCATAATTTTTTTAGTTCATATTGATATTTGCAAATTTATTGTCGTTATTTCTTTTTTTCAGGTAAGCTGCGCGGAGAAAAATCATGAAATAAGACGTCTGTTGTCATCTTTGTAATGCCTTCTAAAGAATGATCCAGGTTCGTGCACATATACAGCCTTGACCAAAAATATTTGCCATAAACCTCAATGACTTTAAATTATTTTACATTCAGGTTAAATAAGCAATGCCAGTCGATGACTTTCAGTTTTTTTTATAACGATTTATGGCGTATCACACAGTACTATGAGGACATTTCACTAGTTTTGCGATTGGTGTTTTATTTTTCCTTCTTCAAAAAGTAATTGTATTTTCAAACGTTCAGCTAAATCCAAACGTTTAGCAAAATAATATTGTTCTTTAGAGTAAGTCTATAAATTGGAGATTATTAAGCAATGTGCACACTTCGAGCGACCACAGTAAACTAAATACAAGCAAAATGCAAGTTTGATACGGTAAACGTATCGCGACTTGTCCTCGCGCGTTTATAATGAGATGCCTCATTTAAACTTTAAGTCATTCAGTTTAGCGGGCAGGCACGTAACAATATACAAAATAGTTGGTTGGAGTCAAAAGAAGTTACATTTCTAAGAATTGAAGGGGTGGCAAATAATTTTGGCCAAGGCTGTACTTGACCTTAACATAAAAAATTTGTGAATCCGCGACTTTTTACGAAATGCATTACATAAGACCACAGCATAAGACCATTCAATTAAAACTTGTAAATAAACGATTGCGAAAATCGTATTTGAGTTTTACGAACATTGGCAATTACTTAGAAGAAAAGAACATTAAGGTAAATACAACGTTACATCCACGCATCTTCAGCCAAATGATTCATTGAAATTTGTTATTGAGACGTTTATCCTCCAACGGTTCTTGCATAAAAAAACATGAATAAACCTTTTCGATTTGATTGGCTTGTTAGCTTAGAACCATTCACTCAGGGTCAACAACTACAGAAAACCTTGGTAAGGATTGAAACTGGTATCAAGGAATATATTATTCCACGGTGAGCACAATTGAAAAAAGAAACTAAGGAAAGACTACGAATTTATCGTAAGTATATCCGCGTTCTACACTCGAATTGAAATTATAGTTAAATAAACTGTTTGTCTGTTACTTATGGTTTGTAAGGATCTGGGGACAAAGATCAGAACTGGCATTTTTCAAGCAACTTATTTACCTAGTTCGTACAATCCCCTGTTTTAAAACAACAGTAAGGCCTCGCTTGATCATTATTGACCCTCGGTCAGTTGAGTCGTTAGATACATATATTTTTCAGATAATTTTTTCGTACGTTATGCGTCATGGACACGGGGGATTTTTTTATCAAGGGGACGCGTGAGTTTCTACATTGGAATTTCCAGGAAAACGACGTCGGTCCTCAGGATCAGTGTATAGGTGGGAAATGCCGGTTCTCCAAGTCTCGGAGTAGTAACGACAGAAGGAAAGTGGGGAGAATTCACGATAAACGCGCTCGGAGTAGGGATCCTCTGGACGTACAGAGGAAATCACGATTCTTTACTCAGAGCCGTGGCGCTAATCGGGCATCGCTGCTCCGAGCAGAAGGTGCTTGTTCGCTGTTCATCGCGTGTTTCCTTTTGGTGAGTACCACAATTTTTATCGGGATTTAAATAGACTTGCTTCTCGAATGCTAATAGTAAAATTTGCCATTTGTTCGTTTATTCGAAGGAGAGAGAGAAAAAATTCGGAGAATATTGTATAATTTTTTTATGTCACCTTGGCGGTTAAAATTTCAATAAAAATCGTCATTATTCGAGAATAACCGATAATATCGAACTTGTTCTGTCTGCTTTAACAGAAAATGATCGCGTTTATCATATTAATTTATATAATCACAGTAAAGATTATGTAATTTCGAGACGTAAAATTATCCTACCGTAGCTAATCTTCCTTCGTAATTTCTTGTTGCAAAATTTTTGCAATTCCTGAACTTTAATTAGGCCAACGCTGATACCGGTTTAACGAAATATGTTGATCTACTAGTTTGTGGTAATCCAAAAGGTCAGTGGCAGGTAATTTTAAATAATTAAGTGTACCGTACGAAAGATTTTACGGCCGAAACTGTTATACAATGTGCTGTCGCGCTACCGTGTAATTTCGACGTATCGGCTATCAAATTAATGGGATTCACGTGGTAAAAAGTATCGAAATATGTTGGGGCGAATAAATGGTACAGCATTTCTAATCTCGTGCTGCGTCTATCGTCAGAGCGTGTTTACGCGCACGAAGAAATTAAACTATATTTATATAATAACACGTATCTGCGTGCATCTTCATTGCGGAAGCACTTCGAGGATAGCGCTAATTATCTGATAATAATCAAATGTCCTGAATAATTGTGCGGTCAAATTATTGCGACGCGCGTGTGTTCCGTAATCACGTTTTCAGAAAAGATTACAAGTATCCTGTCCGAAAGAAGATCGAGCGCCTTCACTTAACGTCGAATTAAACGTTTGAAGTAGTCTCGTTATTACTGTTGCAAGAATATCTCAGAAGTGCGATAGTAACTTTGATTTTTATCGCGCGATAATATTTTTTTTAAATAGAATTCATGTTTCATAGATCGGACGAAAGAATATTAATTGTTAAATAATTCATGCGTCGCGTGTGCCATCATTCGTTACAATTGTAATTTCAGAAATTATCGTGGACTTAGATATCTGTGATCAAAGTTTGGATTCTCTTTGTTCTAATTGAACGCCGAGTTTTTACTGACTCGTTACGCTTATCGTGAATTGCTGGAATTGTAGAATACACAATACAATTCAATCTCGTGTTCCAGTAACTCGGGAGAGTCCCGAGAAGTAGAAAAATGGTAAAGTTTACCGAAGCATATAGGAAATGTATATATTATATTACTAGTGTGTATCTCTACTTCTTCATTATTCTGCACTTATTATAATTTTTCGAAATATAATCTTTTTTTGTAGTAAAAAGATTTTTATTTGGGGGCAAATCACTTGTGATAGGATGAAGAATAAAGCAGCAAGCCTGTTCTATGTTGCATTTTTACATCAACTTCGAAAAATTCCGCGATGTTCGATGTTATTTCCTCGTAAATTTAAAATATACGTCCTCTATTCTGTCGATGCATCGTATAAACACGTTATCTAGATTCAGATGCGCTCTTTTATTGACTAATGCTTCTCGATGATAGCCGAGAATGACCGAAGACTAAATTGCCTCACGTTAATGATCGCACGAAAGATAATGTGACGAGGGATCTCACGAGCTCCTTGCAATTAGTTTGTGTTTACTTCCTTCGATTTTCTAACTAAAAAAGCGAGACACCGCTGCGTCTCATCACTATTTATAGCTTCGTAAAAGAAGGTATCTCTCCTTTATGACTGTCATTGCGAAATCATCAAAAAATCAGTTTAACTATGATCGTTCTGCAACGTTGCCTCCGATACGATACACCACTTTTCGCATTTGCTTCAGGTAGATCAGCCAAGAGTCCTTGGCGCAAACCATGTGGCGACTGGTTCTCGCGTTGGCCTTGGTCGGCGTGACTTTGGTGACGGCATTGCCCGCGGCGCAACAAAACGACGGTGGCCTCTCAGCTCTCATCGATGAGACATTCGGCAATGCTAAGACGACACCTCCGTCAGTGCCTCAGATAGACGGCGACCTCGACAGCCTTATCAGAGACGTCTTCCAGACCGGAAACGGCACCACTACCCCCAGAACTGTCATTCTCGGCACAGAGAATCAAACACCCGCGAAGCCCCTCGACTGCGAATGCGTGCCTTATTATCAGTGCAAGGAAGGCAAGATCGTGGAGAACGGGGTCGGCATTATCGATATCAGGTCCGATTTTGATGATAAGAAGGATGACAAGGGGTGAGTTTGTTGACCAAAGATCGATGTCTCGACTGGTTTTCTTACCGGACGGCGATGGATCACGGCATGCTGTAGAATTTTCGTCCACGACAGATACGTGGCGGATGGATGGTTAACGCTCCTATTGGTATCGTAAAATCGAGGTTGGAAAACTTTAACCACTACTAAGCCTCGGTACATCTGTACACGACGATAACTAGTAGCTCGTTCCTATTGTCTTGCGCAAGAATCTATTCACTTTGATCTCCTCGTTTTCAACTAAATTACTAAATTGGTGCCGGTGTATCCTATAACGCACGATTCTATTTTTTTATTACTAAGATGTGCGTAGTGATATTTAACATAATCTAATCTTTTTCTAAATTCAGATTTAAAAAAGGAGTACACTCTCGCATCTCTTCATTTCTTTACAATTATTTTCTGCTTTATGTAAAAATAATACACAAAAATGGAATTTCTTCTTAATAGTTTGATAAAACGAATAGGATAGTGTTTTGCAAAAATTATTGTTGTAAAGGTGTTTCTTTAGAGACTGATTCTAAAAGATTCTAATGCAAAACATTCTTTCACAAGAATTTTCCTTGTGAATCGATACAAGACCTTACTATTTATTACTTCATTTACGTTTTTGTAACGTAACAACAAATAATGTTGAATACGGTTATGGCATGGCTATGTTACAAGCATAGTTAAGTTACAAGTAGTTCGAACCGTGCATGGAGAGTGAGTGTGTTAGAAGGAAGTGTCGCCGTGTCGATGTTGCTCAATTAGGAATGGTTTGCGATTTCTTTTGTTACCCGACTCTGGACACAATATATACCGCGCAATAATAAATGACGTAATTAAATTAAATATAATTAAATTCCGTATGGCAGTTAATGCTCATTGAGAGTATTGTATTGTTATAATATTCGAAACTGAAATTGAAACGCTCGGAATGTGGTATCACGTTCAAAATTAATTACTCCGGAATCAGAAGTCGGCGCGAGATTAATTTTTACTAAAAACACTCTCCGTGTATGGCCGAATTTTTATTCGGATACTTTTATCCTGCTAAGATTAGATTTTGAGTATTCTGATCGGTAGGTTATTAGACGATTTATTGTTTTTAGCATGTCGTCATACTATTCTCGCCGCACGAGACTATCTTTGGACAATGAAATTCCTCTGGATTTGGACAATAATATATGCTATCCTAATATTAAGCACAATTTCAGTTGACTGATAATTAAGCTAGAGAAGAAACAATTGTCGGAAACTTTTTAAATTGGCTACCTTTATACTAATATTCAGCTGATTCAAAAAATTATTTAACAAATTGTCAACGAAACATTGCTCTTTAAAATGTCATCAAAATTAAGAATTTGAAAGTTGCAAAATCTATCATCAATCTTTCTCGGATATTCTTCAAATTTTTCTTATATTTTTTTCCATATACTAATAAACGATCGGATCTATTAATTAGGGTAATTTATCCTCGCGTTTTCACGATCACGTTGTGGGATATTTAGAGCTCTTGGACCATGCGAGAACTACTTGGATGTTTGCTGCAAACCGCCGGATCTACAGCCACCATCCACGCCTCCACCGACCACTAGGACCGGATGTGGACGGCGAAATCCTGAAGGAGTCGGCTTCAGGATCACCGGCCAGTCTGATAATGAGGCCCAGTTTGGCGAGTTTCCGTGGATAGTGGCTATTTTGAAGGAAGAGGCTATCGGCACTGACGGCCAGAAATTGAATGTTTATCAATGCGGTGGAGCTCTTATCCACAGACAAGCCATTCTCACTGCGGCTCACTGCGTCAATGGGTCAGTAATCTTGTCACGAATAACTTTGCGATAACAAATAACATTTTTACGAATACTCGATAACCTCCCAGCGAGAAATGACTCGTCAATCGACGTCGATTCGACGTCGTTTCAAAGTTTCAAACTTAGTTAACAAATATCTCGGGAATAGAAAGAGAGAGAGTGACTATTATGCATTTATATCTGTTACTCGTTGTCCATTATTTCTCCAATTTAACAATGCATTTCGACAAACAGGAAGCAACCACACGAGCTGAAGATTCGCGCGGGTGAATGGGACACGCAGACGAAGAACGAGATCTATGCGCATCAAGATCGTGACGTAGAAAGGGTAGTGGTCCACGAGGGTTTCCACTCGGGTGCGCTTTACAACGATTATGCCATCCTAATCCTGAAGACCCCAGTCGATTACGCGGAGAACGTTGATATCGTGTGTCTACCGGAACCGAACACGGACATCGACGGGTCCAGGTGTTTCGCCAGCGGTTGGGGAAAGAACATATTCGGTACGTTTTAGTGTGCGAAAGAAATACATCGATTGAATTTCTCCGCAAGATCTCTAATTTAGTGTATTACAGCTGTCTGCAGCGACCGACTAATAATGATCTAGATCAGCCCCTGAATATACGCAACCGGCATAATGATCTCATTTGGCGATTTTTAATTATAGGTAAAGAGGGACGTTATCAAGTGATCTTAAAGAAGGTGGAACTTCCTATAGTACCTCGCGACACGTGCCAAAACATTATGCGTACTACCAGATTGGGAAAATACTTTGTTCTAGACAGAAGTTTTATCTGCGCGGGTGGAGAGGAAGGAAAAGATACCTGCAAGGTAAACCAAAGGATATCTCCCACAAAAATTCCTCGAACCCCCGAAGATTCCTTTGAAATTCGTATCATATTTCCCTACAGTTTTGGCATTTCAGCATAATTGCGGAATACGCAATTCTGGAGACTTAAAAATTTCCTACGAATTGTAAAAAATCTATTCTAGAAGATCCGCGTGATAACATTCAGAGTCGATTATTTTCCAACTTCCTCGCGTTCATTATCATTATACTCTACGAGAAGAGGAGTATCAACTGAGATAACAATTTTTTTTATCTTTTAGTTTATACAGAATCGAGCACGATTTTTCCCGATGTCTGCAAAGAAACTTTCCATGTTTCTCTCCATTTTCTATCAAGTAAAAGATTGACTTTTCGATCTTTTCGTTGCAGGGTGACGGTGGAAGTCCCCTCGTGTGCCCTCTAAGGAACGACCCGAAGAGATACGTTCAAGCTGGCACTGTAGCCTGGGGACTTGGCTGCGGCGAGAAAGAAATTCCCGGCGTTTACGCTAACGTAGCCTACGGCCGTCGATGGATCGACGAGCAAATGGCCTTTTACAATCTAGATAACACCGTCTACCAATATCCCAACTGATCATTCTCATCCGATGTACCAATGTCGACCACCCGAATTTTTTTAAAAATTTTTAGTAGAGCATTTATCACAGATTAACGTTTAAGTACTTCTTTTTACGTCAAATAATTCTATATTGAGAACAAATGTGACGTTCAGCGAGCTACACGCGTTGACAAAATTCCACGAATCTCTCTAATAGTAAAAGACCTGCGTTATTTTATGTTCGCAGTTTGAATTACGCGTTTGAAAGTTATTGTTGATTTATGTATGCGGCGAAAAATGAATAAGACTTGTAAAAATCAATGCATGGCATTTTGTATATGACGCACCAGCAAGTAATACATTTTTACGAAAAACACAGGAGGGAAAAGACGATATTAATTCATTTCCTATTAAAACTTTTAAAATGTGTAATTATTTCTGATTAATCAGCTATTGATTTGATGACGATAAACTATAAAACTTTCCATTCTTTTATGAAGGTAATTATAAAGTTCTTGTACAGCTTTAAAACTTTCATAATCGACCTATGCGCGACTAAATAAATTTTTGCAAAGTGTTGGCACTATAATTTAGTGGAATTTAGTATAAATTAAGAATGATCTATTTATATAAATTTTTCTAACAGATTGATTGAAAGAGGTGAATTAAATGTGAATCGATTTTTAATTGGACCACGTTTATTAATTTTAAATCTATTGAATTTCTTTTTATGAGGACTTATTGAGATTATTATTCAAATTATTTAACTAACAAAAGCTCGTTTTCTAAATAATCTACAGACTAGATTAGTAATTCTGGATTTTATTGTAAAAATTACGATAAAAACTGAAATATAAATTCCTTTGCGTATTCTTTTTACACGTGAATTGTGTTATATATAGAACAGAAATTAAGAGAAGCTTTAAAGCTGGACAAAAATTTGTGAATCATTCTATATGTTACATCAATAGTTGAGAAAACTATAAACGACTTGAGGAAGGAGCACGCTGATAAATAACTGCTGACCATCGCTGATAAATTCAGTCCGATGGATCTCGCGATACGTTTTACACTTCAATTTTCCCAATTAATCAATGCGAATATAGTAAAGCATAGTTGATTTATAATAGATTCGATGAAGAATCCGAACTACGAAAACGCCCACGCCTAAGATGCCACGTGGAATTTTCTGGTGGCTCGTAGAAATTGTCAATTTTTGGTAAAATTGACGACAATATATCGTATTGCATTAAATCAAATGTGCCTAAAGGCTGGTCTACAATACATGGAGTAAGCTGG